TCAGCTGGTACAAATCTATGGATCACATTCAGAAATATCAATTTAAACAAAAATTGTGGCAAAAAGATGCAACAACATTTTATCAATGTAAATCTACATACCGGTCACGCCAGCTTTGTCTGTAATAAAAACAGGTTGAGCAATTAAACATTTGTTTTTGGGCTGCAGAAAGTGCAGAAGTAGAACAACTTACCTCCTTACACTACTAGACTTCCCATTCAAATCACAGAAAAGCATGAGAAATAGAACACTATGAATTCGCCACCAAGTCATGTTGACTGTCTCGTGTCTACTGCGTTCACTAGGAGATCGATCAGCAACAAAACCCAGAAAAATCTGCCCAAACATTGGTCACCTGAAAGGGGAGGGATTTCTGATCAATATGACACAGCCACAAAGTAAACCACAGGCTTGTTTGCCAACAAGGAAAAGTGGCCTTTGATCACAGCCAAAGATCAGCACAACATATCAAACTGTAATTTCACAGATTGAACAATATGCAAATTTTCCTCGTTTTAAACCACATAAGCTTCTAACATAACTTATCGAAAGAGGTTAGTTTTCAGGTAGCAAAAATCACTTTTGAAAAAATCACCTTTAATTAAAAACATCGGGGGTTCAGTGTGTCTTGTAGAAACTTATAATCTTGTTCCTAATTTGGACATTCACTAGAGCCCGGGAACATCCCTGACACGTATGACTTTATATCATTAAACATCAAAACCTGAACAGAAAAAATACTCCATAATCTTTAAATGTGGAGTAAGAGAAATTATAAAAAAATTATATAAAAAATAAAAAATGAAGAGCCTTTTCAGGACTTTGTGCAATGTTTTACTTTAAATTTCACAAGGTTTTAGTCAGTCTTTTCACCAGATTACACGCTAACAGAAAAACAACATGATCAAATAGAACTAACTGTGCCAGACTGATACACCCGTTACTTAGTCAAGGGTCAATGAAACACAATCAGGGAAGTGTACCAACTTTATTTTCAACAAATGAGAAGTAAAGCATTACAGTAGATTTATACAACTGTGATACAAGATTTGTATTTCATCTCCATCTTTGTTTACTGCCTTCAATGAATGCAGAAAGTGTCTTCCTAGACTCAGTACTCAAGTCTTATTGTCCAGCGTCTGAATCTGAGTCGCTGTAGTCTGCCACCAAAGATGTGACTCCTGCTGAACATTTCCCCCGATGCTTCCCCTCGTCCACTGCGTTTATCAGTCTTTTTTCAGTTTCTTCTGTGGTTTCGGCACGCAGGCCCTTAACATCACTGCCATTTGTCTCAGCAAATCGCTCACATCCTCGACTTCTTTCCGTATGTGGGGCTTCCTGTGTCTGTGTCACCCTCTGCTCATCGTCGTCACATGTGTTGACATCAGGGTGGGACTTCTGCCGTGTTATTGTGGCACAGTGTTCGGTTTTATTTCCAGATCCTCCTGCTCTTTTGCGGATTAAAGGGCTGTGTGAGGATCCCAGGGCTTTGGACAGTGCTGCCTCCTTCCCCTGCAGGCTGAGTTTGTGGAGCAGACTGCCTGCTGCACCTCCTGATGGCGTGGAGTTAAACCAGGAACGTGAGGAGATCTCTTTCCGTTTGCTGTGCTGTTTGTCCTCATACGCTGAACAGAAAGCAAAAAAATCATGGTCAGGAAAAAAGCTTTAGCAATACTATTATCAGAGTTCAGAAAAACAGTCTCTTATCTGGTGCTTACAGTCAGGTGCCTGGTAGGTGAGTAGGGCAGCCAATTTCTTGTCCTCTTCCTTCTCTGGCAGTAGTGGTATAGAAAGGTTGGTTCTCATACGCACAGCATTGTCCTTCTCCTCCTGCTCAGCCTGAACTTTTTTCTCTGTCTATAATGCAGAAATTTGAGTTTTAAAACACAGAATCAAAAAAAAAAAAAAAAGTACCCAAACTTGTACTGTTATAACCACAAAAAGTTTTCCATAAAGGTTTTTTTGTAAAACGTTGGACCACTTCAGGTTTCCTGTTTTGAGTCTGATGATTATATTAAGGGAACTATCAATTTAGCTTTTAAACTACTTATTCTTAACCTATCTTCGTTATTAATGATGGATCTACTGGGCAGCATTTAGACGGCTGTTAACAAACTGATAGCAATATCTTACTCTGAATTTCCGGCGGAGGGTGCTGTTGAGCTGAAAGTCATCTTTCCAGCCTGACTGATAGTCCTGGATCTCTGATAGAGAGGGTAGAGCCCTCTTAAGTTTCTCCTTGTCTTTCCCAGAGTGGTCCAGTTTATACATTGCATCCGTCTCCAGCTTCTCCTTTTCTGCCCGTTCTGTTTAAAGAGAATGGAAAAATAGAAGGCCTAAACATTCATTTAAAAGGAAAAAAAGGAGACAAAAAGTAATCTAAATAATGGAATGAAAACATTGAAGTTAATATACATTTCGGTTGAATACAAGAAACTTTTATGGCTCCATGAAAATCATTGTGTATGAAAGAACAACATAAAGTCAACACAGTAGTTAAAAAACTGTGAGAAATTTATATTAATCCTTTACCCGTTGTGAGGATCTGCTCGTTTTCAGCCATGTCCCAGCGTTCCTCCTTCCTGCTTGCTCCACTTACGATAAGATAGTCACAAGTTGCTGGATCCGTCTGCATCTCAATATAGTTGACACACAGGTGGCACTTCATCCTAAATCTAGTTGATAAGATAAAACAATTTTGACTCCTTGTTAACACAGCGTATTGATGATACAGTTTTAACAGGACGAACAAACATTCTTCGCTTACCTATAGATTGGCGTGGAGTAGTAGTTCCCCACTTTTTTCTTCTCAGCATTGTAGCGTACCCCTGTGCAAGCATATCATAATGTGTTATGGAACAAATGGAAACATAGAAATCTATGCATAAATATCTTTTTCCTCATCTTACCCATTCCAATGTGATTCTTGCAGCCATCACACCAGATGTTGTAGGGCATTTCAAACCTAAATTGAGAAAATATAGTTGAAAATGCATACTCTTTGAGTATCGAAGGGAAAAATGTTAAAGTATACAATAGAATTCCTCAAACAAAGATGATGGCCCTTATTTACTTCAACAGCTATGAGTGCTATGTATTTATTAGAGGCAGGGCCTTATCTTTAATAATAATTGTTCTAAGAATGACTCAACATACTTTTACATTTTATACTCATTGGGAAAACCGTGTGGGTATTTAACCTAACTGATTAAATAAAAGTGTCACGGAAAAAAAGTTGCCTCTGAGATTATTTCGACGAGCATTTAAATTGTTTGTCTGTCTAACCTGGTACTAACCTGATAATGAGGATGCCCTGGGACAGTTTTCTGGCCCTCTCCCGCAGAGCGTGGGTTTTATGGTAGCCATTGAGAGACCCATGCTGCAGACACAGATTCACATGGATGTAAGTGAATGGACAAACAAACACTTAATTAAACAAATGTTTGTCATCACACATACCTTGGCTGGATCAAAATCTGGAGGATAGTATTTATTTGTTCCTTTTCTTTCACCCTGTTATAAAAAAGGAGGAAAAACACTTGTTACTAAATTGCATAATTTTCGTACTTTTGCCTAAATTATGTGAATTATACAAATCATATCTTACCATGGTGACGACTGGTGCTCTTTGCTTTTAATAGACTGACTCCTTTGTACATGTAAAAAAAACGTTACTTAACTTCCTCCAGAATATAAAACAGTTTAACTGAATAAAGTTAAACTTTTAGATGAGCATTTAAGGATTGTAGCTTAAACTCCTTTAAGAGGCGTAGGCTAGCTATTTCAAAGCTGCCTTTTGACCATAACCCCTGGTATACATTACACGCTTCACAGCCAGACTATACAGACACAAATATAGAAAACCTCTCATTCACACGTACAATGAGTGGAAGATATGACTTTTACCACTTACATGATTTTTAAAAGGCTATGCTTGTTATATTTTTGTTAGCAAAATACAAGCTAATATTAGCAACAGTTAGCGGATTATTGACACGTCATCTGCTCACAAATATGAAATACACCTAAATAATGAAATTTATATCGAATTAAAATACTAAAATTCCACATGTACGTTTAAATGGAAATATAAGATACACTTACAAAATGTCCTGGCTGGACTGATACCAACAAACCATCGAAGGGTCGCTGCGTAAATACGTAATATCCGGACGTCTAAGGAAGTGACGTATTTTGGAATCATCACAGGAAGTACCGGTGTATGGACGGATAACGTGCTCGCGGGAAATCACTTGTTACCTCTCGTTTGTCGATATCGCAGGTATGGAAACCAAAACAGAGTCACATAAACGCTACATCTGCTCGTTTCCGGATTGCTTGGCTGCTTATAACAAACAGTGGAAGCTGGATGCACACTTGTGTAAACACACCGGGGTAAAACCGTTCTCGTGTGAGCGCGATGGCTGCGGTAGATCCTTCAGTAGCTCATATCACCTGGCAAGACACGAGCTCAGTCACAGCGGAAGCAAGCCGTTTTTTTGCACCGTTGATGGCTGCGCAGAGGCTTTTACCACCAACGCAAACCTTATGAGACACGTCGCTCGCATCCACGTTCAGGAGCCAAAAAAATACATTTGCAAATTTGACGGCTGTGGCCTTGAGTTCAAGAAAAACAAGCAGTTGAAGTCTCACATGTGTGAGCAGCACACTCAGCTGCCCCCCTACCAGTGCTCCTTTGAAGGCTGCCAGATGCGATTCGCCTTTCCCTCTAAACTGAAGCGACACGAAAAGGTTCACAAAGGCTACCCCTGCCAAGAGGAGGACTGCAACTTCACTGGAAAGACATGGACAGAGTTCCTGAAGCACAGGAAGGAGCAGCACAGGAAGGAGCAGCCCAGGGTTTCTCTAAGATGTAAGCACTGCAGCAAGGTGTTTAGAGACTCGTGGTTCCTGAAGCAGCACCAGCACGTCCACTCGGATACAAGAACAGTCTTCAAGTGTCCCAGGGATGGCTGCGACAGGTCGTTCACCACAACTTTTAACCTGCAGAGCCACATCAACTCCTTTCATGAGGATGCACGCCCTTTTACATGCACGCACGCTGGCTGCGGAAAGAGCTTTGCCATGAAACAGAGCCTCTATCGACACAGTGTTGTACATGATCCAGAGAGGAAGAAGCTGAAGAAAATGAGGCCTAGAAGATCGCTTGCTTCCAGATTAAGTGGCTACGGTGAAACAAAGAGCGTGATGTATGAGAAGCATCAGGAGCCTAAATCTCAGGGGAGGCCCACAGAGAAGCGAACAGAACAACCCAGTCCTGTTGAGTTAGTGTCCTTGCTGCAGGATACATCCTTGTTGTGCAGCCCTGCAGTGGACACACATGAACTCACAAATGCCCTGACTACACCTTTTACAATGTAACCCAGAGAGGAATAACTCCCTGTATTGTGAATCCTGCCAACCCTTAATAAGAACATATATATATTATATTTTACATGCTATGCTTACAAGAACTCTTGTGTTTCGAGTGTGTTCTTTGTGGAACAGGCCTGTAAATTAAACATTTTGCACTCTGGGCTTCTCTTTGCATAAGTTTTGTCATTGAAGAAATTATTTAAAAATAATTATATGTGTGATTTTTTAAGAACTCGACAGTTGGGATATTTTCAAATTGCCATTATATTTAGAATGTCATTTGACACTCATTTGAGCCACGGTATTCTCTGTATTTAATATAACTATATTTTGTCTCTATTGAAAGGTTTTAAAAAAGGTCAATTCAGGAAATCAAATCAAAGTATTATTTGTTGTATTCATAGTGATACATGGTGGAACCGGCAGTGAAATGCCTTTATGACTGCTCAGCCAAAGTAATCTTAACCTGGCAGCACAGTGGCTGTCAAGGACAGAGTTGGAGATACCTGCTCTAAAAAAAATGTTTTCCAATTAAGATTAAATTGAAATTCCCACACACCAGTTTGATCACTTTTAACTAGGAGGGAGTTAAAAGATGCATTCTTTTGGTTACTTATTTCTCAAAGACTATACATATATGCCTCCAACTTGGTATATTCTACAATGTCCTGAGGCCACAATGCCGCAGTGGACATTGTGGTTTTTAAAAACTTGTTTTTTCCAATGTGGCGCTTTAAAAATCATTACTGCATCTATTCAGCAAAACATGGTGAAGATTGGAAATTGAGTGATGTGACATGATCATGAAATGATGGGACTTTTAGATGCAGTTGGTGTGGATTTGCTCTTGTCAATTAATCACATTTAATTTCTGATCTGCTGCCACTGTCACCTACTTTAACCAGATTCTCATCTTCGACCAGATGATTGGTGGCTGCTCTACAGAAAAGCTGGAAAGAAAACCTGCACATTCTTGTGCCTTGATGACATACGGTGGAGCATCTCGGCTCTGACAAACTGCTTTACTTCGTAAACAGAAGCTGCTCCATGCAAGTTTAAGATTCCAAGTCCAAATCCTCTCAGAATATTTTCAGTTACAGGAAGACTGCTCCCCACATTCCTGCTCTTCAGACGAGCCCTATATGGACTGGCTGTCTGACCAGCTCACTCAGGAATGCTAAAGCTCAACTCTTTCAATCAGTATTCACAGAATCTGAACATGACATATTCTCAAATCGTCCGTTTTCTGAGCTCAAATCTGGTGTTTGATGACACACTGAATGTGTCGTGACTGAATTTATCCCAATGACGCAGCAACACTGTATTAAAAAAAATGTTTAAAAACAATCGCATTTACAATAGATTGAAGCATGTTTAATTTTTTATGTATAGAGTAATAGCCATCTCCCATAATGTGTTTTATTAGTTTTAAGATTGTTTCCAACAGAAGGAATCAATGTGCCCCAGTTTGGCTCACCAAAACCACAAACCAACTTCAGTATGTAGCTACAACCCCTTATTCGATCTATATCTTAAAAAGAGAAAGATAACATGGATGTTCTTACAATTTACGCAATTGCATAGTAAGTGTGCACAATTTGATAAACTATGCAACATTGTTTACTGAGATTAGGTCTTTAGAATTTTTAAAACCTACTGAGATTTATTAAACCACTCTCATGACTGGATCCGGTCAGCACACATTGTTCATCAAGGAGATGCTTCGTTTGAATGGATGGAAACACAGGAGGCAACACATATGGGAAATATATTTTTGATATGTCGCCTTCAAGAGACTGTAAATAGGTTAAAAAAATCTAGGAATGCAGAGAAGAGGAAAAACTGGGACCAGCGACTCTCTCCTTAAAGACCTATAATCCCTTTAGAAGAAAAAAAAGCAAAAGTAGGATTTGAAAACATTTGTGATATGTGAAGATCTCCTCACAGCCCAGATGTTAAAACAGTTTTGAATACTCCACCTAAAGTCTTAAGTTAAAGTCAGGAAAGTGATGGACAAAAAGCCGAAATGTGTAGATTTGATGTCTGAATACATGTGTCATATGTGATCTATCTTATTATCAAGTTTAAGATACACTCATAGTAAATTATCTAGCTTTTCTGGATGATATCAGGTCAAACAGAGAGCATGTCATGTGGTGAAAAAAGATAAACGATAAAATTGATTTTAGTCTCTAAGCAAATGAAAGTAACATCCATCAGAACACCAATTTAATTTTATTCTGTTTTATTTAAACAGCAGAATCCACAGAAAATAAAGATAAGCAAAAGGTGTGCTCGTTTTCCATTTTTTATGATAGTGCTGTTAATGTAGGTTTGTATCATGCAGAATAATCAAATCTGGTTGGAATGCCACTGTAAAATACACATCATGTGTTTTTTATTTCTTCCTCTGTTACAGAAAGTGATGCCACGTTCTTTCCATTCCTGTCTCCTGACAATGCAGAATACCAGACTGGATACTCAAGCCATAATCCAGAAGGATTGCTTTATCTCCACTGTATTTCTCCCACCACCTCCTCTGCTTTCTCACTGTCTTCTTATCTATCACTCTTCCTTCGTTCTCCTGTCTCCCTGAGAAAGGGAAGGAATGTGTCAGGCCTTCTGCCCTTTTGCATGCTTATTTTAAAATAAAAGGAAATAGAAACTTTCTTTGACTGCCTGAAATAAATGCAGCTATGTGGAGGTTGCCAGTGAACTCATATTTAGAAGATTTCCACCGTGTTTACAGAATATATCTTGGCAGTTTCAAATAGAGGGCTTCTTGGCATTCTGCAAAGGTCCCTTTTCAACCACATTAGCTCCTGCTCTTCCATCATTTGAAATAACCATTAAGAATTGTAGTTGAAGCTGAAACATTATAAGTGTGCATTAAATATTTGCTATCTGAATTTTCTTAAGATCTTCCAGATTTTACTTAAATGTTTAGTTTTTTATCAAGAGCACCTCACCTGGAAATTTGTCATTATTTTAGAAAAACTGTATTTGTTAATAAGAGTTTTTCAATGCACAGAACCTATCAGTGTTAACATACTTTGTGTTCGGTTGGTATAATTTGGAAGGAGGAATAAAAGGAAAAAATTACTATGGACAGAGAAACTCTATATCATGTGAAAGTTATCAAACTTAACAAAAAGACAATATCATAATTTATTTGTACAATAATTTTAATTTTTTTCCTCTCTTTTTGGGGTTCAAATGATTTATTGTATCCAGGTTAAAAAAAGAAAGTATCCTAAAACGAATCACAGAAATACCTGGCAGTAAATCTTTGGGGGGAATTCTTAGTTCAAGATTTAGAGACGACTGCTTAGTAATTCATGTGAACAGAGCTGTGCGATGTGATGGATGTGACTGTTTTAAAGTTATGAATATACTCAAGAAGTCATCCAAGACCTTTCTCTTGGCTAAATATAACTAAGTGGAGCCAGGCCACTGGCGAAAAAGAGCAACAATAATGTTCTTTGTTATTACTGCTATATTTACTGCCTGGATTGTAATGTACATGGTTGCCCATAAAGTTAAAATAATTTCGTTATCAGACACATTCCTCTTTTATATCTATTTATACACACCAGCAATAACCTTTCAAGAGATCGATCATTAAAGCATTGCATAGATAAACATTTAATCATACAAGAAAAAATTACATCGTCATCGTCTTTTCATGAAAAGAGGTATAAACTATTGTGTACCATGTATATGCCATATTTATTATATAATATTTGAATATCAACCCATTATATTCTATTCCTTGGTCAGCCAGTTTCTTTTGCATCTTTTTAGTAGGTTTCCTTTCAAAAGTACATACATTACAAACACCCATTAATAATGGACTTATTATGGACTTGGTGAGTCACAATCACAGTAAGTGCAGTCATGGGCACGGCTGTGAGTTAGATAGCAGAGGGGTGGTCTTACCCTAGGGCCTTGTATCTACTAAAAATTAACCCCGCATTGTGGGAGTGTAGGAGTGTTTGTGTGACTGAGAAACACATTGTGAAGAGCTATCTTCAATTTACACAAGACAAAATGTGCATTGTGAGCAATTACATAAAATGTCAAGATTTATTTTTGGGCAATAAACCTTTATAAGAACCTGAACAAGTTCCAAATGTTTGTCAAATTACAAATCAGAACAAAATAACTTGCCAAATAAGGAACATTGGTGTTTGCCCTGCACATGGATGGTAGAGAGAGGGTCCAAATATGCACTTTCTTTCTGTCTCCAAATTCCACTGACTGCCTGTTTGGGCCCTATAATCATTACATAATGCATATTCTACATATTCTACATGTCAGACACACATTGCAGATGAAATCCCTCAATTTATGGACCAGGCCAGGTCAAGTCCCTCATTGTGGAATGTCTGCTGAAACAGGCCTCGTTGTGCTCCAATTGTAAACCTCTACCTCTCTGCCAATAAAGCCTTGATCCATTTTGTTCCGACCCTTAGGTTTAAACTATATGATCAGGTCAGTGACAAAAAGCAGACTATGAGAAGCACCTACTCAAACGCCATAGTTACTCATACGGCCTTTCTTCCTTTACATTTCCTACATGTACTATTTCTGTTGTTTATGTCTCAGCACTTGAAAATCCGGTGTATGACAGCATCTGTTGGCTGTCTGCATTTTCACAATGTCTATTCAGCTACACACGTGCTGATTCGTATAGAAGGCATTCTTCTCAGAAGCATCCAAGCGACATCACAATCCATTTCTCAGCTCTTTTATAAGAACCTCAAACATTTGGGAAACTATATTATCAGGGGCCAGCATCTTTTGGAAAAACATCTGGGGGAAACTCAACAATAAGCCAGTGATTTACTTCAATTAGATAATCCCAAAAGGACAAATTCTGGGTCAAGCGCCCGCTTGCCCTCCTACGCTCCCTGTCAAACTCAGGTGAGTGGGATAGTCAGTTGGCAAGTAACGGGTTAGTGTCTGTCTTCCCCCTACAACTCCTCGTCTCATCTTTTCACCCCCCTTCATCTCAGAGGGCTATATATTGGAGGTCGCGACTCGTCTGCATCTTAAGCATCACGCACGCTAGCAGACACTCACCGGCGTACAAACACAAACGTGTCTGGTTCATTTTGTGGGATCGCAAAGACGAAGAGCAGACTCTTAACCATGAGGTCCCTGCTGAAGCTTGCTCTGATCCTCTTTTGCTTCCAACAGGGAGAGGGCCACTGGCTGAGATCACTGATCAGTAAGTGATGGCTGAGAGAGGGGGGGTGGGGTCATGACCAACTGCTTTGAGAACATTGTGATGGTACTACTTATTCTGTGCATTAAAAATATAAATAACCCTGTTTTTCCAGGTCAGAAAGAAGGAGAAGCGTCAACACATGTGTCTCAAGATGACGACAGAAGAAGCAGTTACTCAGCTGTAGAGGAAATACAGAAAGAAGCCTCTGGAGACAGGCCATATCCTTTCCCTATCACCCAAATCTCAGCCCGGACACGTCGCTCGACTCTCGATTCCCACTGTGGACTACGGTCCATTCTGCTGCAGGTCCGTGACCTGGGGCTCGGCTATGACTCGGATGAGACCATCTTGTTCAAGTACTGCAGTGGGATGTGTCCCCATGCTCGCTCCAACCACGACCTCACCCTCACCAACCTCCTGCTCAGTGGAGTGGTCCCAAACCCGGCACCCGGGGAGCGCTGGCACAACGCGCCGTGCTGCAGGCCCACACACCACGAGGACATAGCCTTCCTTGATAATTCTCACCGCTGGCACAAAGTGGAGAAACTGTCAGCCTCAGGCTGCAGCTGCATGGGCTGACTGACGACTGCAGACGCATGAAGAGTGCAGGGGCATAAACTGAAAATGTTTATAATTTCTCTTTTTCTGAAGGGACAAATCTGCAAAGTTTTCATGTGGTGAAATTGAAAAATAATGGAACTAGGCTACTCCTCCTGTAACTTGAGACAACGTCACCAGCTTACTTTGGACAAGTTAACTTCAACCGGTGATATGCTGGGACCTATAAAGGGTTTTTGATTCTGTTATAAGCATGAGTAGGAAAATGTACTTCCAATGTTCTTTCAAGGGCCTAAAAAGTACTACAAGGGTAAAGGTGAACATGTCTATAACCATTTGACCCAGTAAATAACCTAACATGTATTTATTTAAAATTTCAATTTGGAGCTAAAGGTAGAACAGATATGTACGATGCTGTGTAGACAAGCCTTGTTTGACAAACGCTGCTGATAGAAGGTCTTTAGCCTTCTACAGTTCAGCCTCTTGGAAAATGTATTTATGTCAAATAAATTATTTATTTATTTAATGCAGTTTTTTTATAACTTTTAGCTGATTAAGTTATTTTGCAACGTTCTCTTGCCACTGTGTATACAGTCATAATGAAAATAAACTTGTACTGAACATCTACGTATTAACGGGAGTTTTGTTGATGAAGAAATAATGAAAGCATGATTCCTTTGGTGTACTTGACATTTATTTTAGTTTTGTAATAAAAATGTATAAAAAGTTTCATACACAATCTTTCTGTCAACTTCAGTAATAACGGAAGAGATTCAAATTAGAAATGACAACACAAACTCACCATCCAAAGAGTTGAATTTTGTTTCATCTGGTTCATTCAGGATTGGCCTTCATTTCTACTGAACTAAATTTTAGTCATACTAATGGACAAGGAGGAATAGATGCCAAATATAGCTTGTGAATTAGATCCTTTGCAATTTACCTTTATCTTTGAACTGCTTATGAGTCATTACTCATTTCACTGATATCCTATTTTTAACAAAACCAACAAGCATTTAAACATCTTTCATTGTAAGAATGTGTGTAATTTTCTTTGTAAAACTGATATATAACCTGATTGCTCAAATCTGTGCACTGTTCGCTGAGCCCAAAACTAAACTGGTAAATCATGTATGATGGGATAAAGGCTCAGCTGGATATTGCAAAAAATTTGCAGCTGATTTTATTTGCAAACCTCCAAATCATCCTGTGCTCACAGGGTCATTTGGATTTGAACTGACTTTGGCAGCAAGGTGTCACCACAAGGTCCTTCAGTTTGACTGGCTAGACGGTATTTTGCTTGTCCAATAGAAAGCAATGTTCCTTGAACATGCAACAGTCACATTTGAGTACTTTCAGCCTTTCTAAGGGTCCACACCGCCATCCTCTGTCTCCTCTGGTTCCGCCCCCCACACCTGAACTTGTCCCTCCATGGCTGTGAGGAGGCGAGTCTCTGTGGGGTGGAAAGATAGTGACTGGACAACTGCTTTCCCGACTGGCAGCTTTAAGGACAAAGATCCCTGTAAGAGAAAAAGACAAGAACAGTTTGCTCTAGCTGGTGCATCAGGACTTATTATTCTGAAGTTGTAATTACACAGCCTTCGTGTACTCATACTTGAAAACTAGCTCCACTATTCACTCGTTATTCTGTCACGACAGCAAAGAGCTAAAAATGCATAATTACTTCCACTAGGTCCCAGAAGTACACATGCCCATCCTCTGAGCAGCTCAAGACGTGGGTGTCTTTACTGGACAGACAGCAGTCCAGCTTGTAGCCCTTCATCTTGTGTCCTGTATACCTATAAGAAGCAAGCAAAGATATGGACATCCAGACTGATGCTATTATGAAGGATTCCCTTTATAGGTATACTAAGAGAACAGCGGGAAAGCAAAGCAAAACATTTAAAACACTTAAAGCCTATTTTTCTAAATCCTGATGTAAAGAGAGCCATGCTTATGTGCATGTTTCCCCTCTGAATCTCTTGTGCATGTTAACTGTCACCACATCTAGTGCTAGTGAACTCTAATATGAAGCCAGGACTGAAGCCCTTTTATTGAAACTGGTGAAGACTCACTCTCCCAGCATTTCTCCTGTACTCTTGTCCAGAAGTCTGACTGTTGAATCTAAACTCGAGCTGAGGGTGCACTGACCATCTTGACTGAAACAAACACAGGTAATGGGACCTGAAACAGACAAATTCACAGTTTACAATGTTCTGCATTTCTTGCATAACCTGCCCTCACTTCCATATCCAGCTACTAACAAAGCATTGGCAACTGTTATTGCTCCAATAGGTTTTGAGACTGTATCATGGAAAAGATTACTTACTGCTGATGCAGTCTACATGCAGCTGTCCCATTCTCAAGTCATAACGCCTCACTTTGCCGTCCACTGACCTAAAGAAAAAAAGACATTTTCAAAACACGCCACAGCAAATTCAACTGAGACAAAAGTGTCAGTTAGCACACTCTGCTAATCAACGCAACATCAGTTTACTGATAATTTATTTTTTCCTGCACAGTGAAAACCATTTATCATTTCCACTTTGCTGACCCAGTGAGCAGCTCATGCTGTGCAACTTTAAGGCTGCTAATGCTGTCACGAGCTTCGTCCAAAATCTGGATTGGCTCAAATTTTCTGGATCGTGTGTCCCAGCATCGCACTGTCCCATCTAAGGATCCTGGATGTTGAGAGAAGACAAAGAATACATGTGAAGGATATCCAGATATCACAAAAAAAGTGAGATGACAGATGCATGTATATGTACATTTATTTAAGGTAAAAAAGTAAGTATGCAAACATGAATCCATTCTGCTTTATAGACCATTTCCATTACAAGAAACAACTGACCAGACAAGATGACTGTTGCCTCCTCATTGAACTGAACACAGTTAACTTTCTGTGGGAAAAGAAGAATTTGAGAAAGAAAATTAAAAAACTGCCTATCAATATTTCAAATACAAAAGCCATTTTGAAACACAAAAAAAAAGCAGAACTAACCCCAGCATGCCCTCTGAGTTTGCGCGAGACCTGGCCAGTGGCCACATCCCACAGAATCACTGTCTTGTCAGAGCTACAGGAGCAAATCTGGCTGTTATCGAAGGAACTGTGGAAGAAAAAATCCTAATATTTGTATGCAGGGAGAAAAATCTCAACTGTGTTTTTCTATCTACTTAAATACATATGAGGTTATAAATGCCTGGCAGTCTTCATACCCATCAGCATCCAGAACTTCATATCCATGTCCACTGTATGTCTTCAACAAGGTTCCTCGGTTCACACTCCACAACTTTAAGGATTTGTCACTACCGCAAGACACCACATAGTCTCCATCAGCTGAAATAAAATGTCCAAATAAGGCAACAACATCTCAGCAAAGGTAGACTAGTGCTTTCTTATACCAAATATGCCATGTCGGCCAGTCTCGGTGTAGGAGTGAATGCTCTTTCTCACCATTGAAGCGAACAGCTCTGACAGCTCCTTGTTTACAATCAATAGTCCTGAGGAGATGCTGAGGAAGCTGAGGGGCCTGCGGTTTGGGTTGAGGAAACGCCATCACATCACCTGTGAGGTGAAACATGTAACGCACTCATTCGTCACAAACGTTTTACACTGCTACCTCTCTGCACTAAAAATAAATAAATAAAGAAATCAAATCTGGTGAGAAGAATTTAAGGACAGATTATTTTTAACCAATCGAAAAACATATTTGTAAAATATCTGAGCTTGTCAAAGTTACCTTCTTGGGACGTTTCAACAATTAAATATCACAGGAAAAGCAATGTTGATATATTCAAGTAGCTATCAGACGAGAAAAAAACACCTACTTAGCTCTTTTTACACATTTAACTGTTGGCCGTGCTTCCCAGGAAACAACACGCAATGCACACTGGGAAAGGGTACCCATTTCAAAATATAGGTTAAAAAACCATAGGGATGTACTATTTGGGACTAAATAATATGATAAACTTTTATTTCTAAAGAAACCGGAAACGAATGTTCCCTCTTCCGTTTACTAAGAAACGGTGTGTCGGTCAAAGGAGTTTCATTTTTTTTCCCCGTTTCCTCACAGGAAGACTTTCTATTACAGTATGTCAACTAACAATATGGCAGATCCAAGGAGGCCAAACAAAATTTTAAGGTAATTTGTTTAAAAAATAAAACGAATTGAAATTTTGAGATAGCCAGAAAGCACGGTTTTTGACAGTTAGCAGCTAGCTAGCCTTCATAACTCATCATCAGTGTACCTAGGTGGGATTAGTGGCTGTTGGATTATTAGCTAAATTATTAGTCTCGTTTACGGATCTGAAAAGCAGTCATATAGTTATGTGAATGTGTAATTGGCTATTATAAATTAATCGAAATTGCTTACATGAATCAATGTTATTTTGCTTTTTTCTCTCTTCTTTAATTTTACCTGTACATTTGTTCTTCAGTTAGCAAGTTTGTCATTGTAGCTTTTCTGTAAATATATGAGTGCAATAGTGAATAGTAAGTACATGTTTCAACGATAAAAATCCTATATGTTAAAGAGAAAAACGAGAATTTGTCTTTGATAGGGGGGGGGGATTTTTCTCCGACATAATCTCCTCAGATGTAAGAGGGAAAATCTTATTCCTGAATTAAATCCTTTTGTGTAATTTTTCAATTCCGTGACTCAGTGTAAAAGTGACAAATTCTATCTCTTTAACACATGTATTTACAATTTACTTTGTATGCAGGGCTTCATAAAATGTTTTTTTGTGGCAGGTACAAGCCCCCCAGTACAGAGGCCAACCCCACACTGGAAGACCCCACTCCGGACTACATGAACCTGCTTGGCATGATCTTTAGCATGTGTGGGCTGATGCTCAAGGTTACCTTCACATATGTTTTTAATTGTAAACTTTTGTGTTTCCCATCTTCTTTGTCCTCTGTCTCTGGTGGATGCTAATCTTTGTCCACTTGAAACATTTGACCTCTGAAGGTCAGACCCTGGTCTGTCCCAGTCATTCCATTTAGTAGATTAAAGGTAAACTCACACGAAAGAATGAAGGGCAGTCGTCAAAAAGACCTTCATGAAAAAGGGCACACTAAACAGAAGCATACGCACTGCTGCAATATATGAATGGTTTCATGGACTTGTCTTTCTATAAAAAACATCACTGATATCCTTGAAAGCAAAACTGAGATGGAAACAAGATTTAAAGGTTGTCAGGCAGGATCCTGAAAGTTAATGTAAGAGTTTTTAAACCATGTGGATGCCATACAATTCTCATGTTAATGACGGTTAGAAATATTCTCAGCTGTCATGTAGATGTAGTTTATCTTGGCATTTTGTCAAATTTAACCATAGTATAAGCTTGATTTATAGACAGCCCTCGATTAGTTAGAAATTTTTATTAGGCTTATTTTATTAATTTATGGCTAGTTGATTTGATTGATTTTGAGTTTCATAGTCTGTCTTTAGTATCTCCAACTATCTTTGAAAAAGTCCAACTTGGCCTTGTTTTTTAATCTTTTTTTAATCTTTTATTTTTTATCAGAGTGCCTCTTCAGCTTTCGCTGTGGATCGTTAGCATTACATAGCTTTTCCCAATAGAAAATAGTTATGGGCTGCATGCTGTTAAACTCCCCTGACAGGGGAAAACAAAACATGGATCATTTTAAGAAGACCCGACAATGACAATGTTTCTTTTTTCTCCAAAGAACAGAAGTCTTCTGCACTGGTGATTAGTGTTGTTTTACTCCATGAAACAAAGCAATCTGTTTCCCCCACATGGAATTTGTTTTTCTTCTCGCTGTGCGAGTTTTTGATGTGTCACGCTCTAAAAACTCCCACCGTTCAGACACAGCATAAACCAACTGGGGCTCCATTTGACGGAAGTTTTCTTTTTAAATACTTTTAACAGGAGAGTTAATATAAATAATAACCTTAACATATGTCTGTCTACAATCACATGTTTATAATTTAGAGTAACTAAATGCTCTTACTTTTTCTTTTTTAATCCTCTTTAAGATTGTCAGAAAAAAGAAGCGAGATCCTCACAAAGTCATCTCGTGTGTTTGTGTTTCAGCTCAAGTGGTGCGCCTGGATGGCAGTCTACTGTTCTTTCATCAGCTTTGCAAACTCCAGAAGCTCAGAGGACACCAAACAAATGATGAGTAGTTTTATGTGAGTAAACAATCCTTTTTGGATGCACTGTGTAACACCCGTGTGTGTACCAATGTGTGTTTATTCAGTGTTCTGTTTGTTTGTCAGCTCCTGCTGTATTGCAGAACATATACTGTAACTGTGGGTTTCACATTAGTCTGTCAGGCTCTCTGGGTTGTGCTGGGCTTTGTTTGAGCCAGCTTTTAGGTTTTGGTCAGTTTGTGTCTTTCTCAAAATTTCCAACAAGCCCTGATTATAGAAACACAAGCAAATTAGTCTAAAAGAATCAGTAATAAACAGAAAATTCCTCCTATTTTAAATCTTAGTAAAAAAATAAGGGCTTACAAAAGTTTGGGATTATTTTAAAGTCCATCTTCATTCAAGTTAAAAAGTGCAGGTTATACTTTGTTTTTGTCTGCTGTTAGGGAAATCAATTACAATATCCTAAAGCTTTTAACTGTTTGACCTCTGTCGGGGACACATTTGCTTATAAAAGAGCACTAAAGCAGGGCTTCCCAGACAGATTTACAATGAGGAAAAACCTTCTTTTCCATTGTCTAGATGAGGTTGTATTATGAATGAGCTAAATGCGCTTATATCTTAGTAACGCAAAACGTTTGGCTTAGCAAATTATGTCCAAGTACAAATTAGATACCCCAGCCTCGTGGATACAAGCTGGTTCAAGGCCAGTTTTAGGACTGTGGTAGATGGCCGGTGATTCGAATATCACATTTTATCAAAGAAAAATGAGTGACTATTCATGAAAAAAGGGGTAAGGCAGTCAGTTAGAAACTTGAATTTCAAAAAATTGATTTGGGCTGAAGAAAAAAATAAACTTTTTTACCTGCCATACAACTGAAACTGCACTGTTGTGCTTTCAGGCTGTCCATCTCAGCAGTTGTGATGTCCTACCTCCAGAACCCACAGCCAATGTCACCGCCATGGTAACCAACGGCCAATCAGAGTGCAAGGCAGAAGTAAAGCAGAGGCTGGAGTGGGCTGAGGAGTTGACCCTCCTCCCCCACCCCCTGGCATCTACATGAAAAACCAGAGACAAAAAGAAGACAATGGGATAGAAATAGAAAGAAAAAACAGAAGACTAGAATCGAAGTGAACAGTAAGAGGACACAGTGTCGAGGCTGAAAGCTCAGCTGTCTGAAACTTTGTTCTCGTATGTTTCTGTTTTTAACCTTTTTCTACTTTTTGGTAGGTGAAGTTGAAAATATCATAATTTCACTGTTTAGCTGAACTGTTGATTAATACCATGAATAAAACTTAACAGTTTTAAAAGAAACAGCTGTCTGATACTGCCTGACAACATTATATACTGATTTCTTCACATTTAGAATCACCTTCATCATTTATCAGCATTATAACATTTCTGGTCTAAACAACTAAGTGTGAAGTCTAGAATGTATTCCTCATGTTCACACCAATTTATATCAAGACTTTGGATTAAAAAATACAGGATCGGGCTTCAAGGGGTTAATTCCGATTAACTTCTCTTTGGAAATACCAAAGAAGAACTGAGAACCATAAGTAATATTTTAATAATCGAAGTAAACGCAGTTAAATCCTGTTTTCCGATTTGGTACAATGAAAAATCTGCACATTGCTCATGCCAAGCCATGAAACAATGTTATCACATGAAGAAATGGAACAAACAGAAGATTGATTAAAGTACTGACAAATTGTCTGTTGATCAGGTACGGATTCAGAGTCCAGCATTTATCAGCTCGACCAACACAAACATACATTAGTTTTTCTGAGCGTATGCTTAGACCACTGTACCATCTTTATAAGCCTTCATTTAAGGCAAAAGGTTAAATCGCACCCTCTTTATCACAGTGAATAAGATTGTTTGATCGTTTTCCCCCGGTCGTTTATCTGCCAGGTGACTGATCAACAACACACGCACACAGACAGTCTTGTCTTTCTTTCTGCTGCTTCTCATTTGGTGAATGCTTCGACTAAAACGCACAAAGCCACTCACACCATAAACTGCTTGTGTGTCAGTGCTGATTACAGACAAGAAGCTGGCAAGTCAGCTGGACGTGAGACTGATTTAGTGGCGTATAACTCACGTCCCTCCAGGGTTGGTTCCACCACAGCCGTGCCGACTGGGCACTTGAGCTGCTTGGCTTGCTGCCACGTTTCAGCAGACTCCACTTGATTTTCTCATGACTTTGCCCTGACTCAACTTACTGCTAACCGACACATTTATTATTTCCAAGTACTGAAACAGGGGCTTTCTGTTTTTTTTTTTTCTTTTCCATTGTTGTGTTCTTTTCCATCGCGAGTGCCAGAGTCACTGTGGTACATTTGCTTTTGATTGCTATCAGTTCAGAGGATATTGTATTTGTCAGAGTCAGCAGGTATCGTAAGCATTGATCAGTGGGCTGTGTAATTTGGATATTAAAAACTGTCACAGTTTGCTGAATGTAGGTCTGAAGTTCAGTGGGTGACCGGCTTCAGGCGCTTTTAATTAAATCTGATCGCAGAACATTGCCTTACTGAATCTGCTCAGTTGAAAAAAAAAAAAAAATGAAGGGATGCTGTCTGGATCCAGATCTCTATCTCCATCTAACGCTAGAGGGCACTAGAGCACCACAAACCTTCCAATCCCCAATGAACTGGCAGTGGCAGCATACCTTTAGTTCACGGTTGAAAACAACTGGAGGCACATATTGCATTAGTGATGAGGCCAATGCATTATTTGAGTTGCTTTTTGAAGATGCTCAGAGAAGGACAAGTCATCCAGAAGAGATGGAGATGCCATCTTTTGTTTTTGAATATTCAGTAAAACCTTCAAGGTCCATTTCAGCAATTAAATTAGCTTTAAAGCATCCATTAAAAGTTTGTGGCCCCACATTGGACCGATCTTATATGTATGAATGGGTGCATTATGCTTTCTTCCGCCTAGCTAAGCTGCTAGTCCCATGACAATCACAGGAGGCCGTGGACGTCTCCTCGGAGAGGTCATGGTGCGTGCCACTTCAAAAACTTGTGAGTCACTTCCGAAAAGTGAGGCACGCTCTCATAAATGAGGCAGTAAGTTACGGAGAAAAGCTCAGAATGTCTTAACACTGCTAAAGATGCCGAGTGGAAAGAGTTGCTTTGATTCTTTTTTTAAAAATAATTTCTGATGGTTCTTTTTCTCATGTGATTTTGCCCTCCGGTTCCTAGAGTAGCTAATCTTTGACACTGAGCCTGAAATTAATTCACATTAGGGGTTATCTGTGTTACGGGGAAGCTGTGCTGTAGTTACTGGGGCACTTAACACATGGTTGACTCTTCATTAGTGAGGCCCTGCTTTGATTTATTGTCAAGCTGCCCTTCTGCTAAATGTTTTGCACTACATTTCAAGTCGCATCATATTATGAATATTCTTTAAAGACAAAAAGTCTAAATGTGCCACAAGATAACATGTCACCCGTCCCTATCTGTGACACAAAGGCATCAGCCTGCATTGATGGAGTCTGACGTCTTGCCATTTGGGAGTGTGCTTATAAATGGTTTGTTTGGCCATGAAAGTTTTTTTTCCGCCCCACATTCAGAGACAAATATTCAGATTTATTTGTGTTTATGAAAGATGACACATAGAGCTTCAGGCTTCATATGAGGATTTATGCTTATTTAATTTTTTGTTCAACTACAACTGTTAAATGGAAACGCCAAAGATGCTGATCTCAGTATCCTGAAATGTTTCAAGCATCACCCTAGTGTCATGGTAGAAAATGACCAGATTTAGTCAGAGGCTGATGTTTGAATTAAGAAAGGGAACCCTTTTTTTTTTTTTTTTTTTTTTTACAGTGGGGCAAGTCAGGGGATATATCAATATTCAATTTATTTAAGATGTCTACAAATGTTATGTAAATAAGGCAACATATCAAAGCTAAGTCTTCCAGAGCTCCTCATGCTGCTAAATATTACACCTTGCCTGTCTGAGTGAATTGGTCTGTGTACGAGAAGGAAAGGGAGCGAAGAAGAGTGAAAGGAGGAGAGAGAGACAGAAAGAGAAAAAGGACTGCAAGTTGAAGGCAGAAGGAGACGACACGGAGAAGGGAGCTCAGTGTAGTGGACGAGGAGAAGTCAGCAGCAGGCTGACCGGAACGACCTGCTAACAGCAGCAGTCCTCGTCACCTTCCAGTGTTTGTTTTTATTTTTTTCTCCTGTTGGCAGCCCGGTTGAGATATTATCGGAAATTCTTAGCACATCGCATCGACCGTCACCGACCGGCGGACGTTACTGTAGTCGGGATGCTCTTGTTGTGACCATGGAGTTTTCCCGTCCTTCGGCAGTGAACACATCGCTGTTTGTCCTTCACCGGTCCAGTCCTCCCAGTACAGCTGACTGGTTTCCAGCCACCGCCGCGCACAGCTTCTGCAGCTCGGGGCCACCGGAGAGCCGGTGGGCGGGACTGGAGTCCGAGGAGCCGGTACTCACCCCCAGGGAGCCGAGCACCTGACAGGCAGGTAAGGCTACAGACACTCGGACAGCAAGCCGCTTTTAACGTGCCGTGTTGTGGGGGAACATTCCCGAGCACCATGGGCTTTCCAAATGTATATTTTTTTTTAAATCAATTCTTAAATTCTTTTTTTCCATTTTACAAATGCTCCCATCTGCATAAGGGGGTACAGGCTATCCTATGTCTTGTAAATCTTTTCAGGAAGGTTGCTACTTGATTCCATTTGGCTACTTCCTTAAAAGAAAACGCAGTTTCCCCCATCTTTTCGTTCAGTATCGTTTTTTTTTCTTCATCTAATACATTTTAATAATCTGGCGGAAGAGAAGACTGTCTGCACACAATGTGTGCTGTCTGTTAATATTACTTATGATGACGTACCTTCTCAAAATTATCACCCAGCTCTAATGAAACACCTGGCCAGACAGCAACGTCAAGTCATTCACACGTGAAACAGATAATGATGTTTGATTACCCTCTCTGCACCTCAAACATTTAACCTCATGCTTTTTTCTAAATTGCATTGATTTACAATAATAAAACGTGGCCATTGATTTGATGCCTTTTAAACAGTCCTGCTATTCTTTGCTAAGATAGAGAGAGTGCACTTGCTGAGATCTTTCCAAAACCCACCTATTCATTATACGCTTTAAGGAAAGGCTTTACAAACCATCAGTTAAATTTATTTCTTGTCATTTCAAAATTACATAAAAGATTTTGGTCTTAGAATTGAAAACAAGCGTCACCGGAGCAATCAAATTTAACCTTGACTTAAAAAGGGCCAATATATGCACATTTGTCATATATCCATATATGCTAATCATCTGAAGCATAAGGATTGTTTATTGTATGTAGACTTTAAGAAATTGATTTTACCAGTCTCTTGTTCCACAGATTAAAAAAAATAAACGAAAACATTTCTCGGCTGTTATTTATAATTTGGGATTTTAGCACTGTCATGGTGTCCCTCTTCAGCTTTCTTTGCCTTCAGTTATATACAGCAAGCAGCAACTGTGGAGATAAAGCAATCAATGCCAAATTGATCTTACAGCTTCTTCACATTTTAGACATTGCATAAAGTTTTCCCTAACTTAACTCTCTGGATTGATAGTGTTGTCCGATTTGGTGAATACTGATGAGAACTTTAAGCGTACCTAGTTAACACAGGTCTTGTCAGTTTTGAGTCCCACTTGAAGAAAACGGTGACAAGGAAAGAGACAGAGGATCGGATCAGAAGAGATTCACAAGTTGAGCTTCATGCTGTGACTAACACCTCAGGTCCATTGAAAACAAATTAGCTCTCAGATTCTCTATAGTCTTCTTCCAGATGACTCAAGACCATGACGGACACCTTTTTAGGCTATTATTGAATGTTAGGAACAGATCTGTTGGTGCATGAGTGAGTTATGTAAACCTCTGCGCAAGTCACTCGAAGGTACTAGTGTACCTCTTAGCCAAAAATAATCTCTTCAGTCTTTTACCATTTTGGCCCAAACCTAACATCAACATAGCATTCATCACCAGGCCTGAATTTTATATAACCTTCCTCCTGCTTTTCACAGTACTGGAGGTTTTCTTTGTTGTTTTAAAAAGGATTAGAGTCATTCTGACAGACGTGTGAACGTGTGAGTGTGTGTTCTTGTTTACCAAATGCAGTTTCACACCTGCACTCTTGACTTTTCTTCTGGGTCAGCTCCCTTCAGACCACTGTGCTTTCCCATAACATCCATTTCTTTATTTGTCGGCTCATCTCAACATTTTCCATCTTCCTTTTTTTTGTTTGTTTGCTTTTGTCAGGAGAACTTTATTGGCTATTGGGATGAGACAAAACAGTGACACTGTCAGTC